CTGTAAACCGCTTAGAGAGGGCTGAAAGCCCTATGAAGCGGTATATAAGTCTAACTGCTATTGCTATAAACTTTCCTCAGCAGGCAACTCAACTAAGGAAGCAACAGCCATGGAAAGGAAGGATTCCAGACTCTCTTCAGATGAGCCGTACCTGTGAGAATCACCTTACCTTGTTGTCTCCCCTGGACCACTGGCCAAAGTGCTCCATCTCTTCAACCAGCTCGTCGCAGGCCGTGTCAGTGAAGAGGGGAAACCAATAGACATCTGGGCAGGGCTGGACAAGGGATAAAAACCCAGAGCTAAAAATCTGGAACTATTTTGCATCACTTTGCAGCAATTTGTACGTTTTAATTGCTTATTCCGTTTTTTTTCATTTGTTTTATTTTATTTTTCCTTTATTTTATTGCACTTTTCATTTCATTTTATTGTTTTTATTTTACTTCACTTTTCACTTCATTTCAATTTGTCTGATTTTATTTCACTTTCCATTTCATTTCATTTTACTTCACTTTTCATTTTATTGCTTTCTTTTTTATTTGATTTCAATTCACTTTTCATTCCATTTTATTTTACTTCACTTTTCTTTTTATTAATTATATTTTTATTTTCATTTCATTTCATTTACTTTATTTAACTTCACATTTTCTTTTATTCTAATTTTATTTATACAGCAGCCACCCTAGTAAACAATTACGGGCAACTCAGAATCTAAAACGTAACATTACAATTAAAATTCTAAAAATATTTTAAAACAATTAAAAAATATTATTAAAACATCTAATTCAAGTACAGCTAGTCCTCGACTTACCACCAGAATTGAGCCCCAAAATTTCTGCCGCTAAGCGGGTTTGCCCCATTTTACGACCCTTCTTGCCACCGTTATTAAGTGAAACACTTTAAGTTAGTTACGCGGTTGTTAAATGATTCAGGCTTCCCCACTGATTTTGCTTGCCAGGTCACAAAAAGAGACGCCAGGATTCTGCAATCGTCATAAATGTGAGTCAGTGGCTAAGCAACTGAATTTTGATTATGTGACCATGGAGATAGAATAGAATATCTCAGAGTTGGAAGGGACCTTGGATGTCTTCTAGTCCAACACCATGTTTAGGCAGGAAACCCTACACTATTTCAGATAAGTGGTTATCCAACGTCTTCTTAAAACCTTCCAGTGTTGGAGCATTCACAACTTCTGGAGGCAAGTTGTTCCACTGATTAATTGTTCTCACTGTCAGGAAATTCCTCCTTAGTCTAAGTTGTTTCTCTCCTTGATTAGTTTCCACCCATTGCTTCTTCTCCTGCCCTCAGGTGCTTTGGAGAATAGTTTGACTCCCTCTTCTTTGTGGCAGCTCCTGAGATACTGCAACACATGTCTCCCCTAGTCCTTCTTTTCATCAAACTAGACTTACCCAGTTCCTGCAACCGTTCTTCGTATGTTTTAGCCTCCAGTCCCCTAATCCTCTTGGTTGCTCTTCTCTGCACTATTTCTAGCATCTCAACATCTTTTTTACATCGTGGTGACCAAAACTGGATGCCGTATTCCAAGTGTGGCCTCACCAAGGCCTTATAAAGTGGTATCAACACTTCACGCCATCTTGTTTATGCAGCCTAGAACTTTGTTGTCTTTTTTAGCAGCTGCTGCACACGGCTAACTCCTATTTAAATGGTTATCCCCTAGGACTCCAAGATCCCTCTCACAGTTACTAGCTGTTGCAACGGTTGTGTGAAAAACGGCCATGTCACTTTTTTCAATGCTGTTGTAACACTGAACGGTCACTGAACAAACTGTTGTAAGCCGAGGACTACCTGTCCATATCTGGTTAAATGGCATAAAGTACAAGCTTAAATGAATAAAACAGCCAATTTTTGAGGAAGGTGTAGGGGGATTCAAGGCCTCTTCTCTTCTCCTTTCTGCCGGCCTCCCCCCCCCCCCACCAATTCTACCGCAACAGAGAAAAATGGTTTACCGTTTCTACCAATTTCCCTTTTAAGGCGTCTGTGTAGTTTGGGTGAATGTATTTCTCCTTCCAGTCCTGTTTTGTGTGAGAGAGAAAAAAATAAAGAAAAATGAGTAGGATGCTGGATTTATTGTTTTATTCCCCTAAAAGACTGTCTTGCAAATCCATCCTCTTTTGAGACTGAGTTCAAAACTGGAAGTCGTAAATGCACAATTTATCCTTAAGAAAGCCGCTCGTTCTCATCTTTCCCAGCTGTTCTTCACTCCAATTCCTTCTGGTTCCTTCTTACCAAAACCTGCTGCTCTGACCCAGCTCCCCAAACACGACAAACCCTTTGAAGTTAAATCAATGATTCCTTTATTAGGAGCGCCGGCAGCCCCAGCAAAAAGTTTTTCTCTCACCGCAGGCTAACAAGTCCATCCGGCAGGGAGATGAATAGTTGTCTTCCACATCTATTCATCACCTCCCCCTGCCTTTTATCCCCAAAGCTAGGGTGGATCTTTGCTAGCAGCGGTGACTCTTCCGTCCCAAGGACAGGCCCATAGATTTCCACTGCTCTCCTCTCCTCTGCCTTCTGCGCATTCGCACGTCAGGCACTGGACTCAGCTGTTTCTCCTCTTCCTTATTAGCCACCTCCAGTCCTGGCAGCTGTTGAATCTCCATCTGAGGGCTGACAAATGGCTTAGGATCCATCTCTGTCTTTCTCTCTCTGTCAGCTCCATTCCCTCTTCCCCCTTGGGGCTCTCAGGTTGCCTTGACGCTGACCCTGACTCCAACGCCTCCTCCTCTGATTCAGCTGCGGGAGGGGCTGGCGGCCGACAGGCCATAACACCTGCTTTGAGAGACAGCGTCGCCCAACATCTATAATTCCTGGCCTCTCAACCCTCTGCCCCCTCTTTCTGTGTGAGCCCTTGTTCTCAAATTCTCCCCCCGCCCTAAGAAGCACAAACCTTTTTTTTCAATCTTTTCAAACTGGCCCCTACTTCACCCCACACCTGCCTCGTTCTCAGGTTCCAGAGAAAGTAAGACTGCTCACCTCTGGGTTGCTGAAGATTTGCCAGAGATCGTTATGCAGGTGGCTCGTCTGATAATTCTCCAAGGACAGGATGTGCCCGAACAACTGCTGGTTTGTCAAAAACATGAACACCCCCTGCAGAAAAAAAAACAAATACCATATTTTTCGGAGTATAAGATGCACCAGAATATAATACGCAGCAAGGTTTTGAAGAGGCAAATTTTTAAAAAAGTTTTTGCACTCTGCCAACCTCCCCAAAACGGCACCTTTTTTCCAGTCCCCCCCCCCCAAAAAAGGGCATGAATAGCTTTCAGGAGGCTTGTAGAGTGCTCCTGGGGAGTGCCCCCCCCCAACAAGCAAAAAAAGGCCCGTTTTTTGCGAAAACAGGCTCATTTTTTGTCAAAAAAAGGGCATGAGTAGCCTTTAGGAGGCTTTATAGAGTGCTCTTTCTGAAAGCCTCCTAAAGGCTATGCATGGCCATTTTGCTGAGGGGGGCGGGGTTTTGAGAGGCCAAAAATGTTCTATTTAGTGTATAAGATGCACCCAGATATTCAGCCTCTTTTTTGAGGGAAAAAGGTGCATCTTATACTCTGAAAAATACGGTAAACACCTTCCATTGCATGGATCCACCCCAAAACTAGCCTTACAACTGAAAGATGGGAATCTTTCCCCTCCACAATTATTATTAGATAGATTAACAGAGTTGGAAGGGACCTTGGAGGTCTTCTAGTCCAGCCCCCTGCTGAAGCAGGAGACCCTACACCAGTGATGGTGAACCTTTTTGGCACTGAGTGCCCAAACTGGAACGTGCGCGTGTGCCAGAGCGCCAGAAATCTGAACACCCGCTGGTTGGGGCGCATGTGTGCGCCAGCCACCTCGTCTTCAGCTTTATGGCGTGCGTATGCGTGCCAACCAGCTGGTCTTTGTGTGCACTGGATTGCCATAAAGCCAAAGACCATGTGCCCAGCGTGGGCATGCGCGGGTCAGCCACATGATCTTTGGGTTTCCGGTGCTTTAGTGCATGCAAACACCAGCTGGTCGGTGCACATGGGCACGCTGGAAACAAGAAGATCAGCTGGCAATGGTGTGCATGCCCACAGATTTGCATGCCATAGATTTGCCATCACGACCCTACACCATTTCTGACATATGGCAGTTCCAGGCTCTTCTTGAAAGCTTCCAGGGATGAAGCTCCCACAGCTCCTGAAGGCAACTTCCGGCATCCCGGCAATCCCCGTGTCCGATCATGCTTGGTCAATGAAAGAATGCAATTCAGTTTCTATCAACGCAGGGTGCACCAACCTGCTCGTGAATGTTATGGCACAGAGCCATGTCGGCGTCTTGTCTGCCACTGCGGAAAAGGTCCAGCTGGGCGAGTTGCGACCTCAGGACGCTGCCCTTGATCAGGTAGACACTAGAAATGTACGGGACGTTCCAGAGGCCACTGAGAGAAAAAAAAAAAGAGAGGGAGGGAGGGAGGGAGGGAGGGAGAGAGAGAGAGGGAGAGAGAGGGAGAGAGAGAGAGAGAGAGAAAGAAAGAAAGAAAGAAAGAAAGAAAGAAAGAAAGAAAG